CAGGCCAAACAGAGGATTTTTAGGGCAATGAAATTATATATATATTTTTATTTTTACTTCTTTTGTGGTACTGGGGATTGGACACATGGCCTTTGCACCGAGCAGGTAAGTATCCAGTCCTTTCTATTTTTTGTTTTGAGACAGCCTCGCTAAATTGTTAAGTTGCCTGGGTTTAGTTTGAACTTTGAATCCTCCTGCCTCAGATTTCCACAGTGCTGATATTACAAGGGTGCCCACCATGCTTGGCCTACTTTTATTTTTTTGACAAGGTTATATGTCTACACAATAAAGCACTTAAAGGGCTGTATAGTGAAAAGTAAATTTTCTTACACTATTGACACTTGGTCCTATTGATTTCTTTCCCAGAGATCATCACAGCTACCAGTTTCTTATCTGCTACACCTGTGTGTGCATAAACACATGAATCTGTATTTGCTTCTTTTTTTTTTTTTTGTATTTGCTTCTTCCCGTCATCTCTGTTTTCCCTTTTTACACAAAGGGGAATGTGCTGTACACTCTGTTCTATGCTTTGCTTTTTGATTTAATGTTTCTTGGGTATAGGATGATACCAATTTTAGCAGTTTTTTGTTTAGCAGATTTATTAGAGTATAATTTATGCACACCTCACTTTCTTAAAATGACATCCCCCCCAATACTGATCATTGAGCTCAGGGTCTTTGCACTGAACTGTATCCCCAGGGGTGCCCCCCTCACCCACTTTGAGACACGGACTTGTTAAGTTACCCAGGTTGGGCTTGAATTTAGGATCCTCTTGCCTCAGCTTCCCAGAGTTCTGGGATTATAGGCATGTGCCACCATACTGGCTGATTTGGTAGGTTTTCACAGATTTAAATACCCATGGAAATCACCACCGCAATCAAGATACACAATACTTTCATCACCCCCAAAAGTTCATTTTTCTAACACTTGATTCCAGGCAGTGACTGATTTGCTTTCTATCATATTAGTTTGCTTTTTATTATTTACTTTAAACCTTAAAATTCGTACTCCATTGTTTCTAGTTTTTGCTACTCAGGATGATTGTAAGGTTAATCTTTATTGTTCCATAGATTTGTAGGGTATTTTTTGGTTTTTTTAATACTTACATATTGGTAACCATTTTGTTTTAATGAATTCACCTGACATTTCGGTTGTTTTCAGATTTTGGTTATTAGCATATAAAGTTATTTTGGAGATTTTGAACAAGCCCTTTATGTAGACATATGTGGAATGACTAGGATTCTTCTGCCTTAGAAAACTGTCAGAGAAACAAAGATTTTCACTTTTCTTTTTCCTTTGAAAAGTTTTATAGTTTTACATGTAGGTCTGTGATCAACCTCAAAATATTTTTGGGTAAGGGTTCATGTTCCCTTTTTTTCTTTTTTGGGGCTATTTGGATATCCTGTAAATCTAGTTCTATTTGTCAAAAAGACTCACTCTTACTGACTTGCCTTGGCACCTTTGCTGAAAATTAATTGATCGTGGATGTGTATCTGCTTCTGCTGATTCCTGTGTTCTGTTCTGTTTTGTTCTGTTCTGTTCTGTTCTGTTCTGTTCTGTTCTGTTCTGTTCTGTTCTTTTGAGATGGGGTCTTGGCTGTGTAATTCAGGCTGGCCTCGAGCTCACTATTTAGCCCAAGCTGACCTAGAACTCAGGACAGTCCTCTGCCTCAGCCTTTCAAGTGCTGGGATCTCGGATCTCTGTGTTCTTTTGTTGGTATTATACTCTTTTGATTACTATAGCTTTATAGCACATCTTGAAATTGGATAATGCTAATATTTCAACTTTATGCTTTAAAAAAAATGGTTTGGGACTTGTATTTGGTTTGTATTTCCATGTAAATTTTAAAAACATACTGTCATTTTCTCTATAAAAAGCCTACGGGAGCTGGGTGTGGTGATGTACTGCACACCTGTGTCTTAGTTACTTTTCTGTCCTTGTTGAGACAAAATGCCCGACACCCACAGTTAAAAGGGGAAAGGTTTATTTAGCTCACAGTTTGTGGAGATTTCAGTCCATAATCAACTGGCTTGGCAAAGGGACAATGCAGAGGAGAACCAGCTTGTGGCAAGCAGAAGACAGCAAAAGCAAGCAAGCAAGGGAATTTAACAACGTCTTTCTGCCCATTTTATCTTATCCAGGCTACTTAGGGCAGGTGGCACTCGTACCCTTAATCCTAGTGCCCTTGATCCTAGCACTGCACCATGAATCAATTCCAGCATCACACATTCTAAGTCCAGCCACTTCTGAAAAAGCCCCACCTACGAGTGCATGAGGCTTTGGAGGGACATCTAGACAACAGCCATAACACCCTGTAATCCCAGCACTGGGGAGGCTGAGGGAACAGGGTCATAATGAATTTGAGGCCACCCTCGACTAGATAGGGGGACTCTGTCTCAAAAATGAAACAAATAAAAAAGCCGTGAGAATTTTCCCTGGATTTGAGTTGAATCTCAGCTCTACTTTGACATAATTGAGTGGTTTTCTGTGTGACTGTATCAATTTTATAGACAGTAGTATAATAATGGTTATTTATTGAGGAGGTATTCAGTCTTTGTTGATAGAGTATTGCAGTGAATTCTGTAGTTACTTTTTTTTTTTTTTGGTACTGGGATCAAACTCAGGACCTTGTGCTTGGGAGGCAGGCACCGGAACCACTGAGCTAAATCCCCAGCCCTCTCTAGTTACTTTTATCTATGCATTTGTTTGGGTGTATCTGTAGTAAAAGTCCTGGAAATTAAATTGTTTGAAATTTGGCATTTATAATTTTGATAGATTTTTCTGAATTGTCCTGCATAAAGGTTGACTCCCTGATATAATCAGTTGTTGAATCTGATGTAAACCTTTGCCAAGACTGTGCTGTTAAATTTCTTCTTCTTTGGCCAGTCCAATAGGTGAAAATGGTATTTTGTTTTAGTTCTAATTTATATTTTCTATTGTCATACCTGCCATTTTTTCTCTGTCACTGTCATCCCTTGGGTCCTGGCTGACCTTGGATGGCAAGGGGCAGAAATACTGGCAGTTTTCTTAGTAGCTTTGGTTGTTGAACACCCAAAAGGTTAGTGTACACTAGTCTTTTTTTTTTTTTTTGGGTACTGGGGATCGAACTCGGGTCCTTGGGCCTTTGAGGCAGGCAGAGGAACCACTGAGCTAAATTCCTGGCCCTAGTGTACACTACTCTTGAAATGTAGCTCCCATATCTTAAATTTTTATCATCTGCTCTCTTGTTCTTTGTCCTTCAAGTTAATGGTTTTGTCTTAGTCATATTTTGTTTTAATCTCTCTTGCCTTTTTTTTTTTTTTTTTTTGGCTGTACTAGGAGTCGAACCCAAGGCACTTTACTACTGAACCCCTGCCCTTTTTATTTTTTTATTTTGAAACTCTTTGTTTTGTTTTGTTTTTTTGTTGGTACCAGGGATTGAACTTGGGGCCTTGCACCTACCTGCAAGGCAGGCGGTGGAACCACTGAGCTAAATCCCTGGTCCAGAAACCTTTTTATTTTGAGACAGGGTCTCCTGTGTAGTTCCAACTCACTGTGTAGCCCAGGCTATCCTCAAATTTGAAATGATCCTCCTGCCTTAGCCTTCTGAGTGCTAGGATTATAAGTGTGTGACATCACGCCTGGCTTGCTAAATCCCCGGTCCTCTGGCTTTTTTTAACTTTGAGATAGGGTCTTGTTGAGTTACTCTGGCTACCCTTGAAGTTGGAATCCTCCTGCCTTAATCGACTGAGTAGCTGGGATTGCAAGTGTGCACCAGTGTGCCTGGCTGTTTTATTTTTCAAGTGGGTTTTATATGGGAATTGTGTAAGTCACTTTTCTCTAGATGCTGAGACAAAATAACCAACACCCAAAGTTAAAGAGGAAAGGTTTATTTAGCTCACAGTTTGTAGAGGATTCAGTCCACAGTCGACTGGCTCCAAGGCAGAGTGGCACATGCCGTGGAGCATAGAAAAGGCAACAAGAGACCATAACAGCATCTCCCTGTAGGTTTTATCTTATTTGGACTACTTAGGGCGGGTAGTACTCAGCGCCCTTAATCCTAGTGCCCTCAGGCCTAGCCCCACTATGAGTCAATCACACACTCTAGATTCAGCCACCTCTGAGAAAGCATGAGGCTTTGGGGGAGACATCTAAACACGGGTCATAACAAGAATAGAGGTAAATGTTTGTCCTTAATTCTGTTTTCTTTAACCTTGTATCATTTTTTGTCTACACACATACACACACACACGTGTATATATATGCACTTTTTTCTCAAATAGATTTTAATTTTATTAGTTTACTTCATTTTATGCTTCTGAATTGTTTTTTGTATTTAAAAAATTGTTTCCATAAAATGGATGTATACTGCTTCATTGGATGCATGTACCATAGTTTACTTTATAATAGAAACATTGTGCTGTGTATAAAATGAGCTCTGAAAATAAGTAACGGTAAGATAAGGCAGAATTATGGAATGTTATATTGGATTAATGAGAGGTGAATGTATAATTACCCCTTTTTTGTCTTTTTAAACATTTAAAAATACTTTTTCTTTTAGGTGCTGTTTATGTGTTAAAAGCAGGTTTTAAGGAATGGTTTTATCAGATTTTCATGAGTTATGGTGGCTGAAACATCAATTCTGTCTTGTGGGAAAAGAATTGTAAGTAAATATCAAGGAATAGACTGGTTTTCAACTATTTTGTGTTTATATGACTAGTTATTGATTGTTCATAGAACCATATTTGTGATACTTCATTCTGTTAGTCTTTTTTTTTTTTTTGGTACTGAGGATCGAACTCAGAGCCTCGTGCCTGGCAGGCAGGCGCTATGCCGCTGAGCTAAATCTCTGGCCCCCATTCTGTTAGTCTTAAGTGTACAGATTAAACATTTCAAAAGGAATTAGATTTTATTTAAATCAAAGTTCTAGTTTTGCCGGGGATTTAGCTCAGTGGTTCTGGTGCCCGCCTTGCAAGCACAAGGTCCTGAGTTCGATCCCCGGTACCAAAAAGAAACCCAAAAAACAAAGTTCTAGTATTAGCGTTGCCCTATTTTATGGGTTGTACAATTTTAATTTTTATTTTTAATTTTTCAGAAATGGCAGCACAAAAGGAAATCTGTATCAATAGAATATTTTATTAAACGAAGGAAATTAAACAAGAACTGCAAACAAACAGACTCAACAAACAAGGAAGGAAACGTATTAGCCATAAGATATGTTTCAAATGAGGCAAAACCCAGTAACTGTAGACTTCAGAAGAAAAAAGTTTTTAACAATTTTGTCAAAATAGTCAGGTCGGTGATAATTAACTCCAGCAATAGGGCTAGGCCTGAAACTAACATTAATTAAAAGTTAGCAAAACAGATTGAATGTGAATTAAGTTTTTCATTAAAAAACTTCTAAAAAATCAAATTAGAATTAAATTTTCTTCAAATTTCTGTTGCCTTGCTAAGAAAAGCAACTATCGTTCAGTATTCGTGCCCGCTTTTTTCATGTTCTAGTTATGACAGAAACCTTATTTGAAGCAAACTAGTATTTTTGCTGAAAATGTATGTCAGCATCAGTTAAAGTTTATTTTTAAGACCTATTCCTCAGTAATTATACTGGATACTCAGCATTTGCACACAGCAGGACGCAAAAGTCCTCTTAAAAACTACTCAGAACAGGAAGACAGTTTTTGGGAGTGATGTCCATTCCAGAGAAATCAAAAGAAAATTCCTCTGGCGTTGTTAAAGAAAGTGAAGATAAGAATTCAGAAATAGAAATTCAAGGTTCTCAAAACAGTCCAATCAAAAAATCAGATTCAAAGGAAGCTGTGAAGTCATTGGTTAAGTCTTCCAGTGAAAGTAACATAAATCAGCCTGAATTGGGAACACGCATGAGTACAAGGTCATCAAAGGCATCTTCCAATGATAAAAAAGCTACTAAATCTATTTGTAAAAATATGGTAACTGTGAAAGGACATTCACAACAAGAATCAATAAAAAGAAAATTATGTCAGAAAAAATTAGATGAAACCCCTAAAGCAAATGAGCAGCTTAACCGGAGATCACAAAGACTACAACAGTTAACAGAATGCTCAACAAGGTCTTTGCGCAGTAGAGACATTCAGCGTCAAGTTCAAGCAGTTAAACAGAGTTTGCCACCAACCAGAAAAGAGCATTGTAACAGTATTCAAAGTAAATCTAATAAAACAAGTAAAAAACATGTGAAAAGAAAAGTACTAGAAATAAAGTCTCATTCTAAAGAGGATGAAAATTCAGTCATTAATGAAGTAATAAATTCTCCGAAAGGAAAAAAACGCAAAGTAGAGGATCACACAGCTAACACTTGTAGTTCTCAGTCCATACAAGGGCCTGAAAAATGTCTTCAGAAAACTACTAGAAAAGAAGAAACAAAACCAGTGCCTGTCAATTCTGAGATAAAAAGATCAAAAGTGGCTACTTCAGTGGTTTCTAAAAAGGATGAGTTGAAGAAGTCATTTTATACACAAGTGAATACTAGCACAAAATCCCAAAAAAGTCCACTGCCTTCAGTGCCTGAACAAAGTGTTGAGGAGTTGGAGCAAGCAGGAAAGAGCAAAAGAGGTAGTATTCTCCAGCTCTGTGAAGAAATTGCTGGTGAAATTGAGTCGGATACTGTAGAGGTGAAAAAAGAATCTTCCCAAATAGAAAGTGCAAAGGAAGAGATACCCACAGAAATAAAATTGGAAGAGGCAGATGTTGACAGACAAATACTTCATCAGAAGGAAACAGGTCAGGATGTGCAATGTAATCGCTTCTTCCCCAGCAGAAAAACAAAGCCCATGAAGTGTATACTAAATGGAATAAACAGCTCAACTAAGAAGAACTCCAACTGGACTAAAATTAAACTCTCAAAATTTAACTCTGTGCAGCAAAATAAGTCGGACTCTCAAGTTCACCCTAAATTGGGCTTACTACGAACTGGTTTTTCACCACCAGTTTTAGAAATACATCATCCAGTGACTCAGAATACATTTTTAGGGACAAAACAACATGATACAAATGTAACTTGCCAACAGGAAAAAATGAAAGAAATTACATCTGAAGAAGTTAAAATTAATGATGTTAGAGTTGAAATTACTAAAACCACAAAAAGGGCACCTGAAAATTGTCATTTGGATAATCTGATAAATCCTTCTCCTGACCTACCATTGGATAATCAGAGGAAACCTACCTTTGACTCAACACCAGATAAGGTAATCAATTTTCATCATGCACAGTCAGGTGCCTTAATACTTTTTAAGTGTTCTAGATTAAGAATTAAGACATAAGATTATTAATCAAATCTTGTATTCGTAGAATTTATGACTCCTTTAAATGTTTCACCTTTATGTGGATGTTTCTTATATTTCCTCATTGTCACTCTTTAATTTTTATAAAATAAGCCTGTTAAATTCTAGCATTTCTTTTAAATTTAATATATGGGTATGCTTCATTTTTCTGTAATTATTACCACTGAGCATATATTTCTTAGTGACTGAGATCTTCAAATTAGGCTCAGTTCTGACCAGAATGTTAAAATTCATTTCAAGTGGACAAAGCAACCTTTTCCCCCCACCTAATCAAATTTAAGAGGATGCTTTTTGGTTTGATTTGTGTGACCATTTTGAATAGTTGGCAAATAAAATGTCTGACAGTTAAAATAATTCAGTCTTCATCTAAGGATAAAATTGTAGTGGTCAAGAATTTTAAAATTGGATAAAATAAATTAAACTACAGTTTTAAATCTGGAAGAAATGTTAATGATGATGATTATTATTATTATTTTGGTACCAGGGATCAAACTCGGGACCTTGCACTTGGGAGGCAGGCTGCAGAACCACTGAGCTAAATCCCCGGCCCTGTTAATGATTATCTTGAGAAAGTAACTATAAAAGTAGCTGTGCCCTTTTTTCTGGAGTGAATAATTATGTGGAATACCAGTGCATGAAACCAATAACCAGAAATTTCGTAGGCAGAGAACCCTGGAACTGTGTAATACAGATGGGAAAAACATCTTAATCGGTATTAATTATTTAATTTTTCTCCCTAGTACAGTTGCTAGGGATTGACCCCAGGCCCTCATATAAGTGCTCTATCATTGGGATATATTTCCTGACCTTATGTATTTAATTTATTGTATTATTTTTTATTTTTTCTTTTTTTTTTTTTTGGTACCTGGGATTGAACTCAGGACCTTGCGGTTGCGAGGCAGGCACTGGAACCACTGAGCTAAGTCCCCGGCCCTTATTGTATTATTTTGGAGTACTGAGGATTGAACCTAGAGCCTCACACTTTGCTGTATCCCTGGTTACCACCCCCTCCCCCACTTTGAGAGGCTCTCACTAAGTTGCCCAGACTGGTCGTGTACTTGTGATCCTCCTGCCTCACAGCCTCCCAAGTAGCTGGGATTACAATTGCATGCTACCACATTTGGCTAATGATTTAATTAATTTATTTATTTGTTGTTTTGTTTTGTTTTTGATACTGGGGATCGAACTTGGGTCCTTGCGCTTGCACAGCAGGCGGCGAAACCACTGAGCTAAATCCCCGGCCCTATTTTTTTTTTTTTATGATTTAATTTTGTAATGAGAACACTAAGAATAGAAATGTTTTAGGTCATATGTTTGATGGCACAAAGTAGGTTAGAATACAGGTATTCTGATTCTCAGCCCAGCATTCTTTGTATAGCATTAGAAAATCATTTCAGCAAAAAAAAAAAAAAATCATCATGAATCGAGAGAAAAGACATCTGAAGTTTTTTTTTTTTTGGTACCGGGGATCGAACTCAGGACCTTGCACTTGTGAGACAGACAGTGGAAGTCAGAAGTTTTGAGACTGATTTAAAGTTTTCTTTAGAGTCATTTAGCCTAAGAGCAAATTTGAGTGAGTTATGAGTCTGGGCTTTATGCCAGATGCCATAAAATTAGTCTATTTTTTTGGGCTAAAAATCAAAGTGAACTTAAGGAGAATAGACACCACATGGTACTCTTAGGAATTATTTTTTATACAAATAAGAATGAAAACAGATTAAAAGATGATTGTTCAGAAAGATTTTATCATATGGTAGAAATTAGAAGTAGTAAATAGTGAATAGCAGTTTAGTGACAAGTTGTAGGTCTGGGATATATGTAGCTCAGTGGTAGAGCTTGCCAGGGATGCTCTGTGCCCTGGGTTCGATCCCTAGCACCAAAGCAGGAAAGAAAAGAGAAAAAATTGTGGTCTCTTGGACAAATGGGGTGGGTTTTTTTATGTAGCATTGTGTCTTCTGACTCCTCACCGCACAAATGCCTTTCAAAACCCTAAAGGTAGCCGGGGATTTAGCTCAGTGGTTCCGGCGCCTGCCTCGCAAGCGCAAGGTCCCGAGTTCGATACCTGGTACCAAAAAAACCCACAAAAAACCCTAAAGGTTTGAGTGGTTAATGGAGAAAGAAATCTTATCCATTTGTTTAAATTAGCTCTTTGGATTAAATCATAGTAGAATAGAGATGTTTATTTAGACTGCAGTAATCTGACTTATTTTTTTTTTGAGACAGGGTCTTGCTCTTAGCCCAGCTGGCCTTGAACTCATTGTGTAGTCCGGGCTGGCCTCAAACTTGGGGTGATCCTCCTGCCTCAGCCTCCTGAGTGCTGGGTGTGCAGGTGTGCACCACCATGCCAAGCAACGCTGACCTTTTATATTATTGCTTATTTATTTGTTTATTTAGGTACCTGGGATCATTGCTTTTAAATTGGAAAGTGCTTTGGGTTTATATGGTTTTTCATTATGTAAGACAGTCCTAGAAATATGTTGCTCTATTAAAAATTTCATGTTTTGGGGCTGGGGTATAGTTCAGTGGTAGAATGTTGACCTAGACTGCTCGTGGCCCTGCGTTTCACCCCTGGTACCACTGAAAAAAAAAGCGTTTTGAAGTTCTTGAATATCTGTTTAGGATATAGAAGAGATTAATCTTACTCTTATTTATGTACCACCCAAATATGACAGAAATGAAAATTTTGTGAATTAAGATTTCTTCTTTTGTTTGGTTTTGGTTTTGGCTTTTTGAGACGGAGGTCTCACTATGTAGTTCAGACTGACCTGGAACTCCTGGCGATCCTCCTGCCTCAGCCTCCCCTGGGGTGGGATTACAGGCATGCACTACCACGCCTGGCTACTTAAGATCTTTTAAAAATGAACTGTATTTAAAAAGACTGTATCTTCTTCTTTGTTCCATTGCTTTGTCTTCAGAATTAAACATGCTCCTCAAGTTGATGTGAAAGGACTTTTATTTCCATTTTTTTCTACCAGTATCAACAGTGTGCCCACTGTCACAGATTGATCAGGAAATGTGGTTATTGTATCAATTCAGGACACACTTTTTTTTTTTGTACTGGGGATTGAACTCAAGACCTGAAGCTTGCAAGGCAGGCAGTGGAACCACTGAGCTAAATCCCTGGCATCAGTTCAGGACATGCTTGAGTGCCTGCTGCATCCAAGATGCTGCTGCAGAAGAGGATATTTATATTTTTTGCCTTTAGGGAATTTATGTTGCAGTAGTTGCTTAACAGATTTCACTCTAAATAATGGGGAGTGAGACAGCATGGTTTAGTCATCATAATAGCTTTTGTTTGATGAATACTGCCTCCTTTGTAGGCAGAGGAGATCATCATATAATTCTCAAATTTTAATCTACAGTTTTAAGTTCTATTAGTATCTACATATTACAGGGGAGGAGGGTAGGGCTTAGTGACATTTTAAAGCAATAAAACCACAATTTAAAGTAAGGTTGGCTGGCTTCTGAGCTCAGCCAGATTTATACTTGGGGCGGTTGGAGAATGCAAGCAAATAAAAAAACCCCACACCATTACAACATTGAAAATGTTTTCTGTGGCCTTCGATTTTTTTTTTTTTTTTTTTTGCTTTTTGATTGTCTGTATCAGCATTACTGAGAAATGGTGGTTAATAAGACTATGCATCTACTATGACTTCCTGAATTCTTGGGCTGTTTTAATTATTCAGACATTATGTATTTTGAACCTGAATTCTTTTATGATACGCCTTTTTTTTTTTCCCCCCTGGTATTGGGGATCAAACTCAGGACCTTGGGCTTGCAAGGCAGGCGTGGCACCTCTGAGCTAAATCCCTGGCCTATGATAGGCTTTTTAAATCAATAACTTGCTAACTTCCTGTTAGTGGAAATTAGAGCCATTAGGAATATGTCGTATGTATGTATGTATGTATGTATGTATGTATGTATGTATGTATGTATGTATTTAGAGGCAGGGTTTCACTATGTAGTCCAGGTTTGCCTTGAATTCATTATGTAGCCCAGGCTGGCCTCAGATTTGCGGTGATCTTCCTGCTGGGATTTGTTTTTAATTTTTTTTTTTTTTTGGTACCGGGAATCGAACTTGGTCCTTGCGCTTGCACAGCAGGTGGTGAAACCACTGAGCTAAATCCCTGGCCCTGTTTTTAATTTTTTCTGCTTTGTTTTTATTGTTTATTTTTTTTAAAAATTAATGTTTAAAAGTAATGTTACACATTTCATTGTAACAATCACAATACAAATACACAGAATTGTTTCCCTTTTTCTCATTTCCATTTCCATGAGATAGATAGTATTGATGTAATTTGGAATATATTTTATTAGTTAACTAATGGAGTGGTTTGGCAAGGTTTTAAATTAGAGGCTCTTGAGAATAAAAAGATAAATATGCTCTTAAGAGTTATTGATGATGTGGGGCATGGTGGCGCACACCTGTAATCTCAGCAACAGGAGACTTGAGTCAAGAGGATCTCTAGGAGTTTGAGGCCAGCCTAGACTACCTAGTGAGCTCAAGTCCAACCTAAACTACACAGACCTGTCACCAGAAAAAACCCAAAGTTATGAATGAGTCAAAAAATAACTGATTCCAAATATGTAAGTGATAAGGACATGAAAGAAGTATAAACTAGGTAAAGGAGAATTAGGGAAGATTGGAACATATTATGGAAGAGGAGTCTCCCTTCCCCCGTTTTCAAGTATTAGAGATTGAATCCAGTACCTTTGCACTGAGCTACATACCCAGCCCTCCCCCATTTTTCCCCTGTACTAAAGATTAAAGTTGGAGCCTTTACACTGAGCTACACCTTCATTGCCCCTTCCCTTCTTTTGAGAGAGGATCTCCCTAAGTTGCCCAAGCTGGGCTAGAACTTGTGATCCTCTTGTCTCAGCCTGCCAGAGTGCTGGATTACAGGAGTGCACCACCATATCCAGGTGGAAAAGGTTAATTTTTGAATAATGAGTTGAATTTTTACAAGTGGAAAGGTATTATAGATCAGCAATGTCTTTGTAAAAATGTGTGAACAATGTGGATAATTCTAAATTATCGTGTAGCCACATTAATGAGGCAAAAAGAAACAGGTAATATTAATTTTAACATATTTTACTTAGCCTGTCATAAAAATATAGTAAGTTCCCAACTTAGGAACATTTGAGTTGCAAACTTTCACAGGTGTACTCTGTAAGATTCATAGGTGTACTGTCGTTAAGACTCACTGTCGGATTACAAATCAATTTATGATCGTTCTGGAATGGAACTCTTGTGAGTCAGGGATACTGTGCTATCGTTTCAGCACATAACCAAATAATACTATCATTTCAGCATATAATTTTTAAAAATATATATATATATTTTTAGTACTGGGGATTGAACTTGGGACCTTGCTCTTGCAAGGCAGGCCCCGGAACCACTGAGCTAAATCCCCGGCCCTAATTTTAAAAAATATTAAGGGACTCTGAATATTTCAAATCTGCCTTGTGCTTTATACTTGTAATACATTTCAGATCACACATTTCAAGTGCTCAGTTGTCAAACGTGACTATTAGTAGAGTCTAGACATTAAACTCAGAAAAGGTACAGAGCTAGTAACTGGAATTTATAGGCTCAATATATTTAGCATGAAATTGCTGAGAGGTAGGGTAGCTTGTGCAAGATCATGGACAGATTTTTAAGATATGTCTATATGTTAAACCAAGTATAAAGTATTACTTAGTTTGCTGAAATTTACTAAAATGTGTTGGGATAAGCCTCAATGATTGATATAAAAATCTTGAATTACATTTGTTCAGAATTTCAGCTTATGTTTGGAATCCAAGCTGGAAAACAATCTAGTAGAAAACACCACTGCTGTTTCAACTCCGCTCAGTCAAACAAAAATTGATACAGGAGAAAGTAAATTTTCAGGTAATTTGAAAATATTATTTGGATTTCACAGTGTTTGGTAACCTTTTTTATTATGACAGAAAACTCATATACCAAATAGACCTGTTGAGTCTTTTTTTTAACCATTGCAGTATTTTTCAAATTTGTGATTACCATGGTTATTGCCAAGTCAGGTGGTGGATTGCCTCTGTCAATTGATCTAAATACCCATGTACCTTTGTACAGTAGCACTCTACTACTAAGTCAGTCCCCCAGCCCCTTCTTAATATTTTGAGTCCCACTAAGTTCCTCAGCTTGGCCTTAAATTTGTGCTTCTCCTACCTTAGCCTCCCAAGGAGTTGGGATACCAGGCTGTGCCACCATGCCTGTCAAAAGTTCTTTTGTTTTATAACTCTTGTTTTGTTTGTGACTTAACTCTGGAGAAGTGATCCTCAATGAATTGCTTCTGTTGCTGGTGTAGCAGCTTATTTTTCAAACTTTACTATTTGTGCGTTTCCATTTCAGGTTGTTTTTTTTTTTACCTTCAGTAACTCATTTTTCCATTTCACAGAGTCTTGTCTTTAAGAATTTCAGTAAATGATGAAGTTTCCCCACTTATACCATGCAAAAGCTTTATTTTTGTAACTTTGTGAAAAAAACTTTTACAGTATATTACTTGAGTTGTGAGATGGAGATGCTCAATTATGGGAGATGAAGCTTCAGAGGGTAGAAAAAAAGAAATGTCTTGATTCCTATTATTTCTCTCTGCCAAAGGAAAAGTATACCTGGAACAAAATATTGAGGTCAGATAATAGCTGCTGTTACCTATCATTGTAACTTTTCCTGTTTGTGGGAAAAGTGACTGTAATAGAAATGAGAAATGCATGTGTCGTTGGGGAAAATAGATTTATTATTGCACTTAATTATATTATGTCCAAAGACCTTAATTTTTTTTAACTTGGAAATGTTGCATTTCTTCCATTTAGTTTATATAATTATGCAGGCATTGAAACAATTTCCTTTATGGTTTAAAGCTAGTAATTGTTTAGAAATTCTTTTCTTTTCTTTTTTTTTTTTTTTTGGTACCGGGGATCAAACTCACGATCTTACCCTTGTGAGGCAGGTACCGGAACCACTGAGCTAAATCCCCAGCCCTAAAGCTAGTAATTGTTGATGAACTTAGAAGTAAACTGTTAATCTACCAAGAGATCTTTTTGTAGCTTTGCAGTCTGATAGAAGCTTTCTGTCTCTTCAGAGTAATTTCAATGAGGGTGTTCTAATTTTATGAAGTGTTTTTCATTAAAAATAAGGAAAACTTCAAGGCACTAAATGTTTTATGTATAATGATTTTGACATTTAGGTAGAGGGCTATTAAAAGCCTAATAAATAACCCTTCTTGATTAAATTATAGGTTCAATTCCCAAACAGCACAGTATACTCAATAACCAAACATCTAAGGAGAGTGATAACAGGTAAGGAATTAATTTAACTCAAGTGTAAATTTGATAACTTAAGTACTTTATCCTTAAAAGTTTGGAGTTTAGGTGATTTTTCCCTAAAATATTGTGCTATTTATTAACCATCAATTTATTCACAAATGTTCTATTTCTTCCTTTCCTTTTTCCTTTCCTCTTTCCCTTCCCTTTCCTTCCCATTCCTTTTTCCTTTCCTTTCTCCATTCCATTCCATTCCGACAGGGTCTGACTATATAGTTCAGGCTGGCCTTGAAAACTCTGTGTAACCCAAGTTGGCCTCTAGCTTGCAGCAATCCTTCTGGCTCGGCCTCTTGAGTGTTGGCATGCACCACCATGCCTGGCTCAGATTTTCTTTTTGTTACACCTCTTCTATGCTACACTTAAAAAAAATTTTTTTTCCCAGTCCTGGGAGTGGAACCTAGGGCCTTGTGCATGCTAGTCAAGTGCTCTACCATACAGCTATAACTTTGGCCCCCTGTACGTGCTGTTTTGTATTTTTGTATCAGGTCTCACTATGTAGTGCAGGCCGGCCTTGAATTCTCAGTTCTCCTGCCTTAGCCTCCTCTAAGTGCTGAGATTACAGGTGTGCACCATCAAGATCAGCTTCCCTGTACATATTTCTAATCAATTTTTAAAGTTAATGTATTATGGGCATCTTTTCTGTTTTCCTACCTTATTCGTTTAAATTCTGCATTTGGTTTCATTCTGTGAATTTAAAAAAATTATTTAACTGTACTTTATGGACATTTTGGTTATTTTTAGTTCATTTCTATTAAAAAAATAGAGTTCTACAATAAACACTTGCCTGCTTGTTTGACTGTATCTCTGGGATTGCCTAATTTCCCTTCAAATGGTTGTTCCAGTTTATATTCTCATCAGGAATGTTTCAAAGTCCTCCTTTCCTCACACACACTCCTAGAAATACCGGTTCTTATCAGTGTCCAAGAGTGTGTTATATTTTTTAAAAAATTTTTTTGGTACCGGGGATAAGAGTGTGTTATAAATGCTTACCAGTTTTTTTTTTTTTTGGTTTTTTTTGTTTGGTACCAGGGATCAAACTTGGGACCTTGCACTTTCGAGGCAGGCAGCAGAACCACTGAGCTAAATCCCCAGCCCATGAGTGTGTTATAAATGAAGAGGGTTTTTTTTCCTGTTTAGTATCAGAAATGAAATCTGACTGTTTTTGCCTTTGTGTGTGAATGTGTGGTACTGGGTATTAAATCTAGGGTCTCATGCATGCTAGGCAAGTGTTCTGCCAGTAAACTACACCCCCAGCCCTTGTTTTATATTTTAGATTACCAACAAATTTAGGATAAACTAGGGTAGCTTAGACGGCTAAACTATAAAACTTAAAAAATGTATTTAGAGTTTTGGTTTTTGCAGCTTTTTGTTCATTGAAGATTAGTATATATTTTTCTCTTTTTAAAAAGTTTTGATTGACACATAATTGTACATATTATGGAGTATAGTGTGATCTTTCAGTGCCTGTTGGGGTACTTGACATATCCATCACCTCAAATGTTTATCTTTTTTTTTTGGTACTGGGGATCGAACTCGGGACCTTGTGCTTGAGAGGCAGGCGACAGAACCACTTTCCTAAATCTCTGGCAAATGTTTATCATTTCTTTGTGTGTGTTAGAAATATTAAAATCCTATACTGGTTATTTTAAAATATACAGTTGTTAACATAGTTATCCTGTGTTCTATAAAACATTAGAACTATTTCCTCTTTCCAGCTACAACCTGGTATCTTGTTTTGTTTTGTTTTTTGAGGCAGGGTCCTGCTATGTAGTTCAGGCTGGCCTTGAACTCACAGCAAACCTCTTGCCTCAGCCTCCTGAATGTTGGAATTACAGGCATGTGCCACCTTGCCCATTGACTCCTCTGTATCTGTTAACCATTCTGTTTTTACTCTCCTTCCTGTGGTAACTACCATTCTGTCTTCTACTTCTAGGAGATTTTTTTTTTTAACCTTCCACATATAAATGGGATGATATTTGTCTTTCTGTGCCTGACTTAATTTCACTTAATCATGTTGCAGCAAACAATAGGGTTTCATTCTTTTTATGGCTGAATAATATTCCATTGTGTTCTAGGTATGATCAAAATATATGGTGAATATTAAAGTTATTACAGTAAATGTTAGATTGCCATTAATCACCTTCAAAATACCCCTCTCCTTCTTTGCTTTGGACACACTTATCCCCTTGTCCTTACTAGTTTCTGAGTTGTTCTGGGAGCTGTCTTTCATGTCTTTATGACATGTGATCAAAAATATGGAGAATGCTGCTGCCAAGTGCCATCAAAAGGAAAGGCAGGCTCATAAAAACTTTACAATGTGTCTTCAGCCACCTTCTTCACCAGCTCTGGCACTGTGACTTCTGGCTCTTCCTCAAAGTCAAAATGACCGTGAAGGGCCAGAGATTTTTAGCTCAGTGGTTCCACCGCCTGCCTCACAAGCACAAGGTCCTAAGTTTGATCCCTGGTACCAAAAAACCTCCCACAAACAAAATGACCATGAAAGGTACAGATACTGAATCAATTCAGGGATCTTGAGGCAGCCACAGCGGTGCGACTAGAGACATTCACCAGATAGGATTTCCAAAACTGCTTCAGAAAGTGGCAAATATAATGAGATAAGTGTGTTCCAGTGAGGGGGGACTATGTTGAGGGAGATAAGTGGCAATATGCTTTTTCGTATGACAGATTTAAAAAATTTAAATATTCACTCTATTTTTCAGTTGTATTTTTTTTTTTTTAATTGGTGGTACTGAAGATTGCACCCAGGGCCTTTGTGCTGAGCTATTTCCCCCGCTCTTTTTTTGTTGTTTTGGTACCAGGGATTGAACTCAAGACCTTGTGCTTTCAAGGCAGGCACAGCACCACTGATCTAAATCCCCGGCTCATATCTTGTGTTTATATACCACATTTTTTTTTTTTTGTTACCGGGGATGTACTTGGGTCCATGTGCTTGCGAGGCAGGTGGCAGAACCACTGAGCTAAATCTCCAGCCCCACCACATTTTCTTTATCCAGTCATCCATCGATGGACACTTTAATTATTTGGTTTCATACCTTTCTGTTTTTCACCTTGAGGCTTTGTCCTGGGCCTCCCGGATGCTGAGTGTGCATTCTGTCACTGAACTATATCCTCAACCCTTTTCCTTGATTTTATTTGGGGGAGGGGGTAGGATTGGTACTGGGAGTTGAACCCAGGAACTTCATACTGAGCTCTATTCCCCAGCCCGTTTTTATTTTGAGACAAGACTTGCTAAATTTCCCAGGCTGGCTTGAACTTGCAGTGCTCATGCCTGAGCCTTCCAGTGTGCTGGGATTGTAGGTTTTTTTCAGCTTACCAGTTTGGGAGGTCCAAGGTCAGGGGGCTGCATTAGGTGAAGGCCTTGACTTTTTAAAAAGTTATTTCCTCTTGAGGTTGAAATTTGTCATTGTAATAGAAAGAAAACTTTCGGTAATTTAAAGTGATGTGAATCTATAACATTTATTGTATTTTTTTTTTTAAGGGAAAATCATTCTTGGCTTAAATGTAGTTCCCATTTGGAGATAACAATTCCAAAAGATTTGAAACTAAAAGAAGCAGAGAAATCTGATGAAAAACAGTTAGTCATAGTAAGTATACAACTTGACCTTTTTGAATTATTGTTCTGGCATCTTGTGCAGAGTGTTAAAGAATAAATTCTTTCCTTTTTTCCAAAGATTAATTTTGTTGTCATAAATTTTCATTATGGAAAATATTTCTGGTATTGTAGTATGTCCCTAAAATAAATGGTCCATTCTGAAATAAATAGTAATTCAGTTCCCATAGTTCTAGCTTTGTTTATAACAAATTTTGATACTTTATTTCACATCTGTTACTTTTTTAGATATGTCCTTTGATTACTGCCTTCTTTGAGTAGTTGACTAAGAAACTAAAATAACGGTGTTTAGGATTCAGACTCAGATTTTTCTGTGTCCCAGCAGGTGCTCTTTCTCCCCACTGCATTATTCTAAGTGATTTGCCTCTCCATTCACTGCCCCAGCATTCACTCCCACTCATGTGCCAGGACTGACTTCCTGCCCAGCCTCCTCACTCTCAGATCCCTTCTTGGCATTCTGTGTTGCACCTCCCTTTCTCATCCATAGCTTTCAGCTTCATAGCTCCCTCTGGGAAAATGACTTTCTGAACTAGCTGTGGGCCCTGAAGAGTGAAACGGCCAAGCTTTGGTGAGGTGTGGGATGTTTTATGTGCCGTTAAAATTATGGATGCTATTTGAGTGGGCCCAAACCCAAGAGTCCTAAGCAGTTTTCTAACCCAACATACTCTTTTCTGTATGAGGAGCTTAGTGCCAAGGGGAGTTTTCTACAAGTTGGCCTGCTTGTGGCTGTGCTAGCCTGAGCTCTTTTTCCTCTTCACTTAGCTTTCCTCACCACCTCTCCCTCCATCACTGACTTGAGTGTGGAACTCAGAAAGCTGATAGCAAAGCAATGGGTGTAATTATTTTCTTTTTTCTAAACTGGAATTTCAAAAAGGTTAATGATTCTTCCTGAAAAGTTACTTACTTCAGTTATTCTCAGAGTATTGTAAGAAGAAAAAAAATTTCATTTAAAATGAATAGAACATTCTTTTTTTGTGGTACCAGGGATCGAACTCAGGAACTTGCACTTTTGAGGCAGGCGGCGGAACCACTGAGCTAAATCTCTGGCCCCTAGATCGTTCTTTATCTTGTGAAAACTATTAAATTCAAGTTAGTCTCTTTCTTTGTACATGGCTTATAATTCTTACTGTTTATCCTGAGTTGATTCTGTCTCTCACCAGCCTGATATATCATTATTATGTAAAAAGCCAGAGGAACATGGATAGGCACATAGAAATAAATTTTGTGTCTGACATTTTTTGATAAAATATTAAATCATAGCACTTAATGCATAGAGATTTTAAATGTATACATTATAACTTTAAAATTATGTTTTGCAAGAATATAGTTTAGCAGTTAATTTGAAATGGAACATATGTACTCTATAGTTTGATGGTAAGGTGGAAAAGGAGCTGTGTTGATTAAAAAATCTGATTGGGAAGGGCCAGGGATTTAGCTCAGTGGTTCTGCTGCCTGCCTCAAAAGCAGTTTGATCCCTGGTACCAAAAAAAAAAGCATGGAAAAAATCTGACTGGGGCCGGGGATTTAGCTCAGTGGCACTGCGCCTACCTTGCAAGCGCAAAGTACTGAGGTTGATCCCCGGTACCGCAAAAAAAAAACCCAACAAACCAAACCTAATTGGAATGACCGAGCCTCAGCCTCCCGAGTGCTGGGGTTGCAGGCGTGCACCACCACGTTCTACTCAGTAGATTGTAACTTTAATATCAGAATAACTTTGTAAGAATTGGCTAGAAATGTTTAGAAGGCATAATGAGAGGAAATCTTGCTTTCTCACGTTTAGTGGGTTTCTGTTGTCAAATCAGTGTGGTAGTGAATTTGGATTAAACAAAGAATCTAGAGCTTCATGTCAAATATGGGAGTCATGTGGCCGTTGAGTACTTGAAATGTGCTGCAGGAGAGTTGAGGTAATGCTGTAAGTGTAAGAATTAACTATTGCCTTTCAAAGACTAGTACAATAAAGGAATATGAAGTATCTCACTGTTAGGTTATGTTTTTTTGTTTTTTGTTTTTTTTTGTATCAGAGATCAAACTCGGGTCCTTGCACTTGCGCAGCAGGTGGCGAAACCACTGAGCTAAATCCCCAGCCCTATTTTGTTAAATAAAATGTTATTAAAAGAAAATACGGGCCGGGGATTTAGCTCAGTGGTGCCGCCACCTCTCTCACAAGTGCAAGGTCCTGAGTTCAATCCCTGGTACCAAAAAAAGAAAAACAGATAAAAACAAAATAAAAAAAAGAAAATACTGTGTGATTTCACTTATATGAAGTGCCTAGACTATTGAGATTCAGAGACCGAAAGAAGAATAGTGATTACTAGGGAATGGGAGGGAGGGGAGAATGAGGAGTTGTTAGTACAATTTCAGTATTGCAAAATGAAGAGTTCTAGATTGGTGTGACAGTCTGAATGTATTTAACACTAACAAACTGTACACTTAAAAATGGATGATACTTAGTACATTTTACCACAGCTACAATTTTCTCTTTTTGTTCCAGAAACTGCCTGACTAGCCTGTAGCCCTAGCTACTCAGGTGACTGAGGCAAGTTTGAAGCCAACCTGGTCAATTTAGTAAGACCTTGTCTTAAAAAATAAAAGCCGAGCATGGTAGTACACACCTGTAATCCCAGCACTCTGGGAGGCTAAGGCAGGAGGATCCCAAGTTTGAGCTAAGCCTGGGCAACTTAGTGACTTGGTGAGACACTGTCTGAAAATAAAAAAGTAAAGGGCTGAAGATGTAGCAGTGTGAAGGCCCTGGATTTAATCCTCAGCACTACCAAAATAAAGAACATATTAAGACATTAGCAAAATAGTCTATAAAACTCTATTTCTTGTAGACTCTAGCCAGATAATTATTATAACTATGAAATGTGCATTCTCATTTATAAAGTATTTGCTGTCTGTAGCTTTTGGACTGTGTTTGTTTTATTAAAGATATTTCTCAATTTCTCTAACTTGCCATGTGCTGTAGAAGAAAAACCTTGTTTTGTACTGGGTTGGAACTGGAGCCTTTGACCTGAGTATATCCCCAGGGCCCCCTTCACTATTTTTAATTTTATTTTTATTTACTTACTTATTTATTTATTTATTTATTTATTTGGTACCGGGGATCGACTTTTTAATTTTAAGACAGAGTCTTGCTAGGTCACTCAGTTGCTCAAGCTGGACTCCAACTTCTGATCCTCTTGGCTTAGCCTCCCAGAGCGCTAGGAGACAGATGTTCCCATTATAGCCTTTGAAGCTGATGTTCTGGAATAATTCTTTTTAGGAAGAAAAAATACCAGGCCAGGGATGTAGCTCAGCCGCACCTGCCTGGCAAGCATGAGGTCCTGAGTTCGATCTCTGGTACCAAAAAACCCCCCAAAAAACCTCTTCTTTGTTTTTTATAACTAGGATGCTGGACAAAAAAGACTTGGAGCAGTGTCCTGTAATGTTTGTGGGATGCTCTACACAGCTTCAAATCCAGAAGATGAGACCCAGCACCTGCTTTTTCACAACCAGTTTATAAGTGCTGTCAAGTACGTGGTAAGTGGGGTTTGAGTTATAACATGTAAGTCAGATATTAGTTCAGGAATGTAGATAAGTAGCCAAAGGAAACCACATACTTAAAGCACATGTAGTGTATACACTGGCTTATTAAACAAGGCTAAATATAAAAACCAGGTAATTTTGGCTGGTTTATGTTGTGGGATCTTTAAGTTATATTTTTCTTAAATAGTTTTTGTACTTTTTCTAAGTAGCAGTGCTAGTCATCGTGAATATGTTTCTTAAAACCTTCTGTTAATTTTAATAATTACTGTTAATTATCCTATGTAATATTCATGTAGCTTGGTGCAACTTTGTGTTGGGGGAGTGAGAGTAATTTATATTATATTCAGTAGGTGTTTTGTAGATTACCTTATCTTTGCTATTATAATCATTTTTCTCTGCAACACTTAAAAAAGAATTCTAGTATATAGAAAAAAATCACACAAAGTAAAAATGTTTTAGTATATATTTTAGCATAGAATATATTTTAAATATATATACCTTTGAGGCATACTAGGTAATACTATTAATATTTCTTTCTGAAACTAGAAAACATGTTTAGCAGTTATGAAACATTTCAGATATCTTGTGAAAATAGTAATTGAATGTAATTGCTGTTTACTTATATCTGAAATGGAATCTTTTTATTCTATACATGTTACCTTCAGTACTGTACACTCACATTAATAAGACCTCCAGGATATCTGAACTGAGATCACCAATTCATTTCATGTAGGCCTGTATATAAGCACCAGATGCGGGATTAATCAGAGGTCATTATTGGCTCAGTTAAATTCATTTAGCTTTGGTTGAAGGGTTTCTATTCATTGTTTCATTCTTCTAGTTACTTCTGTCCAGGATAGGTGAGGTTTGCTTTTTTGGTTCTCTGCTGTGGTCCTCTTTTATATTCTTTATTTCATCTGCCTTTACCACATGTATTCTTTTCTCCCACTTTGTGTGTAGATACAGACTGCCTTTTGTTAAGTAATGGTTTATCAGTTGAAATCTGTACTTTTAAAATTTGGCTACGTTAGTAGCCTTGCATCTTAACAAAGAAAAATGGTTTCATTAGGTAGCTAAACACAGAAGAGTTGTGAGACAAAAGTATTTCAGTTCATTTTACATACGTGAATAAAGTAGATGTCATTTGTATTCAGTTTACTTTTTTTTTTTAAGGGAAGGTCTTGCTATGTAGTTCAGGTGGCCTTGAACTCACTATCTAGCCCAGGCTGGCCTCAATCTTGTAGTGATCTCTTTGCCTTAGCCTCCCAAGCACTGGTATTAACAGGCATGTGCCACCACACCCAGCACCTTACAAAAATCTTAATTTCTGAGGGGAGCAATAAACCAATCAGTGAGGAAATAAGTGTTCTGCTCTTCCAAGGTACCAGAGGAAGTTGACTTAAGCAACAGAGTTATAGTCCTCTCCTTTTAAAGATACTCTGATTCTTCTGCAGAACTACAAAGCACTGTAGTAACCTAGGGAAGATTGACTTCTGTCCCAGCCAACCCCTACTTACACCCACCTGATGGGACAGAGCTAGGGGTTATCCTTTTTATTTTTGAAGCAAGCTCAAGATAAAGAATTTAGTTTAGCAGGTTGCTGTCCTTTGCTAACATCAATATCAGTGTACTCATCTTTGCTCTTACCACATGAAGGTGTACATAGAGTCTACGGGAAAGCCCACTCTGGAGCATTGTGGCATTCTTTTACAGTACATGTGGAGGTTAAAAACCAGGATATTCCATCATGAGCAGAGCTCTAGATTTTGGGTTGTGACATTAAAACATTGTGTTTGTTGTGTTGTGCCTTGCATAGATATTTAAGCACTCCTAAGTGCTTCACAAAACAAATAATTTTATTTAATGCCTATTTTATCTATTATGTTTGTTGTTGAGAAAAACATAGAAGTCATTTGGCGTTCTGGCTTTAATTCAAATTAAATGAGGAATGTTCAGGAATTGAAATATTAAGTTTGTTCTACTTGAGTCTGTTTAAAAAGAGTAAGTTTACTTTTTAAATTTTAATTGAACATTCTCTAGAAAGTAAGTACTTGTTCTTTAGGACAAACATTTTCCCTAGACAAGTAATAATCATGCCAGTTAGAAACAAGTGATATCTTACTTTCATAAGGTTAAACTAATGTTTAAATTATGTTGTCATAGTAGAAATTGATGTCCACACAGCCTGTTTTTGGTTGAGTAAAGTATTTGTGTTTTCTTTTCCTTATCTTTTACATCCTCATTGGTTTGGGATAGAGGAGAGTTGGGAGATACTTTGTGTATACCTTCATTTTTCTTTTTTTTGGTCTGTACTGGGAATTGAAGGGAGATGATTTTTTTAAGAGATTAGGTGTCGCTCTGTTTTCCATGCTGGCCTCCAACTCCTGGGCTTAGCAGTCTTCTGCTTCAGCCTCTCAAGTAGCTGACAGTGTAGGCGCATACCACTTCACTTGGCTTCAGGGAAATTAATTTTATCTGACTTACTAAACACTATTTAGAAAGGGGTCCCTTTTTGTTTGGGTTTTGGGAACTGTTTGGAACCCTGGGCTTTGTACATTAGGCAGGTGTGTGCTTTACCACTGAGCTATACCCCCAATCCTGGAAGTATTCTCTAATGTTTTTGGTGGAGCCTGGATTCCCATTTATACCTAGGAATTACTTCCGTTTCTTTAATAAACAAAAGTACCATTACCTAAGGTGTGACCGGAAAGTAGGAAGAGTTCTCCGTTGTCATCAGGCCAGAAATCTGTATTTGGAACTTTCAGTGATACTGAAAAAGAATAATATATAGGCAGTATATGTCCTTGCCTTCAAGCTTAGAAACAAAATCTGAGAGAAATAAAAAATTAACAATAAAAGATTTAAGTAACTCTTGGATGTGAGGGCCGCAACATCTGGCACCGCATTGATCACCAGGGTTGATTCCGCTGGTCTGGCTGGCTAGGTGGATGTCCCTCCCTCCCTCCTCCACGTGTGTCCTCCCAAAGCTGCATACACGCTTGGTCGGAGTGGATGACCATCTTCAATAGAGGAGGACTGTTTTCCTCGGTCAAGGGTATATATGTAGCTATGGTTCCCTGCTAGACCCTCCAAACATGCCCTCAAGACTTAAGTTGCTAACATAGTACAGCTAAAGCAGGTGAAAACATAATTTTTTTTTTTTTTTTTTGGTACCCGAGATCTGACTCGGGACCTTGCGCTTTTGAGGCAAGCAGTGGAACCACTGAGCTAAATCTCCGGCGCAATAACAACTTTTTGAGGAATAATAATTGAATTAGGTTTTGTGTGCAATGAGCTGGGAAAACATAGTGCAATCAGATTATGATATTTTGATTTTGAATGCTTTGTGGACTTCATTTCTGTTCTTTTAGGTGTTGAAGGTTTCTGTTTTTCTTTTTTGTGGTACTAGAAGTTGAATACAGGGCCTTCATATTGAGCTACATCCCTAGTCCCCATCCTCTTTTTAAAAAGTGCCCTCCCTCAGGGGATCCAGCCTTGTGCTTGTGAGGCTGGTGTGGCACCACTGAGCTAAATCCCTGGCCCTATTTAAAAAAAATTTTGAGGCAGCCTCTTGCTAAATTGCTAAGTAGCTCAGGATGGGTTTGTGCGTGTGATCTTCCTCTTTAGCCTCCCCAAATGCTGGAATTACTGGAGCTTGGGGGCTGGGTTTTTTTTGAAGGAGAGAAACTGAGCTAGGTCAAGGAATTTGGTGTGAATTTTGTTGATTTTACCTGATTAAACAAACCAAATGCTCTAGTAGTATTGTGTTGAGATTTGAGAAATAGGGATTTGAATAAGAAGCACCCAAGTTTATATTTCAAATTTTGAGATTTCTAATATTTTTTTGATTTCTTTGTATTTTATATAGTTAGAACATTGTATATATAAATACAGAGCGGGAGTAATGCTTCCAGTTATTAGAAATTTTGCTTTGGGAGAGAGGGCCCTATGTGCCTTCAGTACGAAATGCATAATACATTTCTGTATTTTTTAAAGAGTTCACAAATCCTGAGGGAGATGAGGGTGACCTGTGCCTTAATTAGTAGCAAATAAAAATTTCTCCAACTTCTTTCTGTCCTTTTCCATGTATCAGAAATGGTGTCACCAGTTAGTGTGAGTCCTTGCTTTTAGTGATAATGGAAATTAAAACCAAAGCACAAATTTGCAGAGAAAAAGCTTTAATTGGAGGATAGGAGAGAAGATGGGGACAGGAGTCCAGCTTGAATAGTAGGTAAGGGTGGGCACACTTTGATGAAGAGGATTCAACCTGTCTACCTGCAGTGGTCAGGCCAGTGTTTAAGGATTAGTTCAAGTGGCTGGGATTTGGTTGATCATTATCTCAGCCCTGGTTTTGTAGCTCTGCAGGAATCTTCAAGCTTGGGGGTGGGAGGTTCCTGTGAAAGGACTGTCTTTGTGGCCAGTTTATTCAGGTGGGGCTCTTCTTTTCCTGGAATCCAGGCGATGACATGTTTAGGACCACTCAGGAGGCTTCTAAGCCTCTGCTGTAAGTCAGAGAAGGAAAGGAAAGAACGTATGGAACAGGTTGTTTAAGAGCTTGTAATCACATGTCCCTGCGAATCTTGAAAATTACTTTATTCTTGGTGTCCTTCATCTTGAAAAAGGATGAGATAGGTAGGCTAAGAAAGTCTAGGGCTAACAAACTTTGTTCTACTTTTCCTAAGTAAGTAACATAACCTATATCCAAAATTTTAAGGTAACAAAAGAATACAAAAATGAATCCCGGCACTCTGGGGAAGCTGAGCCAGGAGGATCACAAGTTTGAGCCCAGCCTGGGTGATTTAGCAACTTAGTGAGAACCTGCCTCAAAATTTAAAAGAATTTTAAAAGGGAGGGGGCTGTAGCTCAGTGTGAAGTCCCTGGGTTGAGTCTCTGAAAAAGTCAAGCTTTATTCTGCTTTTAGTTACGTGTTGGGCATTTGTAGGCCCAAATGAAGTGTCATGGGTTGTAGCACAAAGTGCTTGTAAGTCCCAGAC